ATGTCCTTCCAGATTTCCAGGGACTTGGATCGACTTCCTTATTCCTAACTTCCATATTTCCTCTAGCCCTCAAGCCACCAAGCAGAAGATAGAAGACATTTCTTATTAAACTCAGGGCCATAAATTTGCCTTGCATCCATATTTTTCTTGATGTGACTCACCTACCTACAGCCCACTAACTGCATGGATAGTCTAAGGCCTCAAGAGCAGAAAATGGCCTTACTTTTCCACCTTGCTCCCATGGCCCTCCCTTCTCAGACCCCTTGGAGAAAGACCTGCTCTGCACAAAGCACAGGCAGTGCTGGTCACGACTCACGCTTTAACACACTTATGGAGAGGAATGGCAGCCATAGAGAACCTCAAAAATGCCTACAACACAAGGTTGATTAGAAGAGTGGACTTCTCTGAGAACATCCCAAGGAGAACTTGGCACTTACTGTCAAGTTCGAAAGTGAGTAATGTGCTGATATGGGTATGGATAGATAGGTTTGGGAAGCTCCTGGCAGAGAAAATAGCTGGTTGCAGGAACGGTGCCTGACTCCTCAGGTCCCTCCCAGGGCTTCAGGCGATAAGGCTGGATGGAGAGTTGTTTAGCTGGCTATTTATTCTCCTTTGGGCCCTCTAGCCTGGCACTCCTCTCTTCTTTACCTTGCGCCATGCCCTTGAGGCAGCCTCTGGGCTGCATGGATGGGCTCCCTTACCTGCTGCTTCCTGCTCTGGGCTAAGAGAGGAGGAAGGGGACAGGGGACATCTTTCCTAGGCTCTCCCCATGCCAGGCTGCAGGTAGAGTAGCCCTCTCTTACAGCCGGGGGGCTGGGGGGCTCATAGCTGCTCCCTGCTCCTGTCCCTGTGAGCCCAGGAGTGTCCTTGGCTCCTTATGTTGGATATTGTCGGAGCTGGAGCCTTCACCATCTCTTGTTGATTACCCTGCTTTGTAGATCACCCCTTTCTTAAACTCTCTGCCATGTCCCAGCCTATGCACCCTTTGCTCTTATTGGGATCGCGGTTGACAAATACTTTAGGGCCATATTGTGGAGGCTGCTAAATGACAGGATGACAAGACTAGAGGCAGCACACAGGGAGCCCCTTCTCATAGCCCCTTGCTAAATTCTGGGCACAGAAATGGGTACTCAGCATATACATACTGATCAAGCTGATGGAGAGCTGAAAACTCCTAGGGCTGACTTTTTTTTTTTAAGATTTTATTGGGGAATCGGGGAAGGGGAACAGACAAGTTGCTGTCCTTTTGTTCTTCAGTCTAGTTGAGGAGGACGTCGCTTCACTGGCCTATGTTGGTATCATCATTGTGCTCTTCCCAGGTGAGGCAGTCACTTGCCAGCTGCCCTGGCCGCTCATTGCGGCTCACGGCAGCCTACTCCAGCTGCTGGCCGCTCACGGTATCCCAGCTCCAGGTCGAGCTGTTGTTCACCATCTTAGCTGTAGAGGGCGTAGCATCACTGGCCCACATGTGGGATCCGAACCGGGGCCCTGCTGCTCAGAGCTGGTGTCCCAAGCCAACTCTTACCAATGCGCCACTCGGCTGGCCCTGAGGGCTGACTTTTAATAGAGGCCTTTGAAGCCCTCATTCCAAGAGGAAACAATCTAGGTCAGAGAGACTGCTGTGAAGAGGGTGCAAGCCAACAAGTGCTGGGGCTGACAAAGCAAAAGGTGGCGCTCCTCCTGCGGCATACAGGCCAGCCCAACGGTGGTGACAGTGGCACACATTCCTAGCCCTGGTGGAATTCTGTCCTCTCACTGGCTGGTTTGACTCAGCACTGCTGGGAGCCAGAGTGCATTCCTCATTAGCAGTTATGAGCTCATTATAAGCTTCTGAGAAATACACCAACAAAGGATACTAAGTTCCTCTAGAGCTGGCTAGTGAATTTCTTTTTTATTTGGAAAAAAAATATCATGATTCAAATGAAGCCCTAATTTATAGAATTGAGACATAGCGGATTCCCCCCTCCCCCATTTTGCTATTTCAACCCCCTTTGGAATAACTTTGGGAATGAGCAAAAAGTCACAGGGGGAGAAACCTCCAGGCCACCGCCACACCTTCCTGGCATAGTTCCAGTGCTGGCTTCATGGACCAGTCCTGCCATATATATTCGGAGGCTGGGCTGGTGTCCCTAAGGCTGCTGTGATTAGTGGCAGGAGCCAAAGACATCTGAAGGTATAGGTTCAAATCCCAGTTCTCATGCTCATCAGCTTTGAGGTTTGGAGTTCATTTCTCAATTTCTCTGAGCTTTGGCTCCCTCCTCTATAAAAAAATGAGAATGAAAAGTATATCTAACTCACAAGAGTCAATCCAACAAGGAAATCCTTGGCTTCTCTAGCCTCCATTTCTCCTCCTTTCTGTTCTGGTTCAGCTACCATTTATGTATCGAACACAAAATTGTTTTTAATGAAAATCTATGAACTGGAGTTGAATCTCAAAGAATATATTTTGTCTGGATTTAGTCTTTAGTTTCTGAAGTGATTGGTTATTAAACAACAACAACATTTTTGAGTGTAAAACAAGCTCAGTTCAATTAACTGATAGATAATGGGCACTGGTTCTTTCACACATTTAAACTATGAGACACCCCAATATTAATTCAATCAGTAGTTTTATTCCTGTGATCTGTCCCTTCCAAAAAGTCTTTGCTATCTCCATGTCTGCTTTAGAGATGTAAGGACTTGTCCTGTTCTGTGTGTCCCTGGGAATGGTGCCTCTTCTTCACGTCAGATGCTGGGAGGACTTCAGTGAGTGCCTTTGAATAATGCTGATATTGGAACACAGCTCCAGAAGGAAACCCTTGCAGTTCCCAAAGCTAGGGCTCATAGGCCAGGGTCCTTTGCAGAAGTAAGCCATCCTTTTCCAAAGTTACTCGTTTTCCTCCCAAACCAACAACCCCAGGCATAATTTTTAAAACAAACAGTTCTGTCATAGTAGAAGCATGTACATACAATATTTTTCTGTGCGTCAAATGCACTTTAAAACTTTGGTTGCCAATGGAGGGCCTTCCATGGAGCTCAGAACTCTAAGTTTCTGCCCCAAGCTTCCAAGCTCATGTTCCTATGTGATGTTAATGTCCCAAGGCTCACCAGCTGACCACCAAACGTGGGCAGTTGAAAGGTCTGAGCAATACGTACGATAAGGGGCTAGTGTCCAAAATGTATAAAGAACTCGTACAACTCAACAACATAAATCCAAACAGTCCAATTAAATAATGAGCAGAGGACCTGAACATACACTTCTCCCAAGAAGACATACAAACAGCCAACAGATATATGAAAAGATGCTCAACTTCACTAGCTATTAGGACAATGCAAATCCAAACCACATTGGGGTACCACCTCACAGCTGTTAGAATGGCTATTATCAACAAGACAAGTAGTAGCATATGTTGGAGAGGATGTGGAGAAAAAGGAACCTTCATACACTGCTAGTGGAAATGTCAACTGGTACAGCCACTATGGAAAACAGTATAGAAATTCCTCAAAAAATTAAGAACAGAATTACCATATTACCCAGAAATCCCTTTTCTGGGTATCTACCCCCAATATCTGAAAACATTTATCCATAAATATATATGTACCCCTATGTTCATTGCAGCATTAGTCACAGTGGCCAAGACATGTGATCAACCAAAGTGTCCTTTAATAAATGAATAGATAAAGAAGGTGTGGTACATATATACAATGGAATATTAATTGGCCATAAAAAAAGATAAATACTGCCATTTACAACAACATAGATGATCTTGAGATTATCATACTAAGCAAAATAAGTCAGACAGAAAAAGTTGAGAACCATATGATTTCACTCATGTGTGGGATGTAAAACTGAAAGCAACAGATGAAAGAGACAAACTAACAAACAAAAATTTATAGACAAAGACAACAGTTTAGTGGTTACCAGAGGGTAAGGAGGGAAGGGAGGTGGTAGAAGAGGGTAAAGGGGGTCAAATGTATGGTGACCGAAGGAGAATTGACATTGGGTGGTAAACACACAATGCAATATATAGGTAATGTATTATAGAACTATACACTTGAAACCTATATAATTTTACTAACCAATGCCACTTCAATAAATTTAATTAAAAAAGAAAGAAGGAAAGAAAGAAAGAATGAAAGAAAGAAAGAAAGAAAGAAAGAAAGAAAGAAAGAAAGAAAGAAAGAAAGAAAGAAAGAAAAAAGAAAGAAAAAAAACTGAGCTGCAGTGGACACAAGTTTAAAATTGACAGACCCATTTTCTTTCCAATCCTTTTTTCAGTATGGCTTAGTATTACTTAGGAATCAGCTTAAATCTTCTGATATCAGCCATCCAATCATTCCACATAAGAGTCACAAGTCTCTGGCCTTCAAGATCCCAAACTTCGTAGAGCATGAAGCTCCCAAAATGTCTGAGTTCTTTGGAAGCTTGGCTCAGTATGAATGTCCTGGTCCCTTTTAGACTTGGGATAGAACTGGAAAGAGATAAGTGGGCAATGATGGAGGTAGAGACAGGCCCTGAGAAAAGAAGGTAAGGAAGCCGGAAGTTCTACCTGCTTACTTAACTATGGGACTCTATTCACTTCATTTATTTAACTATGTTTTCATCACAACTGTGGCGAACTAAATACTACTCAGCAACTAAATAAAATTTGAACTCAATTAAAATTTCTAATCTCCCCCCTTTTTTTTTTTTGGTGCAACATCAGGTAGCCTCTTCACCATTCTCTACCTCATTTTTTTTCCTATCCTTTTTCTTTCTCCCTTCCTTGCTCTCCTTTATTTCTCTTTATTCTTCTTGTTTCTGTCATCTACCTTGTCTCCTCAATAAGTAAAGAATCCAGAATGTTCAGACTTACTAAAGTTGTTGTTGCCCATCTATTAGCTACTAGAGATAGTCTTAGGACGGTGGGAAGGTCAAGTAGGAAAGACCTAGATGACACTGGCTTCCTTCAAAGAAAAACATTCATGGAAAGCACACTATGGCTACATTTCCTGTCCAGTACAACTAGCCATGATTGTACCTGGTCATTGGAGAATGTGGTGTCATGTTCCCGGGCATCATCTTCTTCTTCTTCTCATCTCCTGAATGGGAGACCAGTGCTTGCTCCAGGTCGGGTTAAAATTTGAGTATCATAAGTAGTCCCCTCTGTCTGATCAATGAAAAGAGGACTAAGTTCTCATCTGAGAGTTAGAGGAACTGGAATTTAATGTGAGAACATGCAGCTTCAGAAGCCCTGGGGAGACTTTAGAATTCCTGAAAGTATTATTCTTGGAAGACTAACCTGTGCCTTCTCCACTCTACCATGTCCTCCCCCAACCTCATTGGCTTGGGCTTGATACCCAGATTGGGTGGAGAGCTCAGTTGCAACTTTGTCAGATGCTCATTGAGCCACCCTTTGAACTTCTGACAATGAACAACTATGTGGGTGACCAACCCAATCCAACTTGACCCAACTGAACCCAATCAGATGTTTGCTGTTTTGAAAGAAACTTGAGAAGAGTGTCAGGAATTTCAAATGAGTTCTCTTTATTCTTCCTTGCCCCCCATTTTCTTCCAGTAATAATTATGAAATTGAGCTTCAGGGGGCAGTTCCTATCTGGCCCAATGCCGTTTGCCCAATAACAGCCTGAGCTGTTACTGTGCTATTACTATCCTTACAGGATGGCACTCCAATGATTCTTTCCATAATATCTATTTGGTATATTTTAACCCTAGCACTTAGAAGGATTCAGTTGCAGAGACCTCTTTATTTATTTCAGCTCTAAAATTTAGTGATTCTAAAATGATGAAGGATGACTGATGTGAACATACTGGTCTCTGAATTTGTAACTTAAGAATCTCATTTGTAGATCCTGAAAGCTTTATCCAATCTTAACATTGGACTGAGTCTCCTATGAAGCCATGTCATGCCTAGGGCTTTAATTGTGTAGTCTATATCTCAGTAGAAAAGTGTGAAAAATCCCCCCCACACACACTTTATCCCCTGTAGTGTGTGCCTGTTCTAATCAGATTGTTGACAGGGTCATCAACTCTTTTCTAAGCAGCTTGGATTCCCAACAGAATGATTCTCCTTCAATGCCAATCTAAACAAATGCATCAACTCTCATTCCAGGGAGTATTAAAAACAGAAGAGTCCCAAATAAAATAAGTAAAAAAATATATTAAATAAATAAATAAATAAATAATTAAAAAATAAAATCAGAAGATTCCTTTTATGACTCTGATTGACTTTGTGACTTCCTTGGGGCAAGTGTTGGTCTCAGGCTTGTGTTTTCTAGTCATCTAAAGTGTGGGTGGGCCACGTCCCACCACAACCATGGTTGTGAGCTCAGAAGATTCACTCCACTTTCATCATAAAACCATAATCAAATGCAGTTGTGTGGTTCACAAAGGGCCCTCACAGTCATCATTGCCTCTGATCCTCATAATGACCCTGTGAGCTCAGAGAGGCTGAGAGACTTATCTGACATCACGTGACCAAGAACTGAATGCTTGGTATCTGATGCCAACTTCTGCGCTGCAAGACCCTCCTGATAACACTAGCATGACTACAACATAACTAGGCAAGTACTGCTTTTGTACAAGGTCATCTGTTAAAAATGTGGATAGCCCCTTGGTTATCTGAGGTTTGGGTTATCATGCGTTGTGCCCCTTTTTAATTTGCAGATAACTGAAAGCTGAGAGTGCCATCTGTTAAGAAGCAGAAGGATGTGGTGTAGGGTAGGGGAAAAGCAAGGGCCCAGAGCTCAGGATAGTTGCTGATCCTCTCAACATTCTTGCTGCTCTACCTGGAGCAAAAATGTGCTTCATGGCTGCTTTATTTATAATGAAAAATAGTAGCTAATTTTTATTAAGTGCTTACTATGTGCCAAGAGCTGTGCTAGTGCTTTAGATTATACCCATATAACAAGTCTCTAAGGTCACAAGGTATTTGCACTTGCTGTTCCCTCTGCCTGGAACATCTTCACCATTATATACCCTTGTGCCTCTCTCCCCTTCACTTACTTTCCATATCTGTATGAATGTCACATATTCAGTGAGTTCTCTCCTGGCTCCTCTATTAAATAAGTCATACCCTCCTGCTATCACTCCCTCTTTCCTGGTTTTATTTCCCTTTATGGCATTTGCCACCACTGTATTCTATATTTCTTTCTTAATCTGTGTATTATCTTCCTCCCTCCACCAGAATATAAACTCCTTAAGAGAAAAGAGGTCCTCCCTCCACCTCACAGCCTGTACCCCCAGGACCTAGAGTAGTGCCTGCAACATAGTCGATATTCAACAAATATTTGCTGATTTTATCTCATTTTATAGATGAGAAATCTGAGGTTCTAGGGAGTAAAGCATTTTCCTCAGGGGGCAAAACAAGCAAGAAGTGAACCAGAGCTATAATCCAAGGCTGTCTGACCCAGGAGCCCCAGCCTCAGAGCCTGCCTAACTGTTCTCTCTCAGCCTCGTTAAGAGAATCATAAAATGCTTGGGTTGTATGAGTCTATGTCTAATCCTGCCCAGCCAGAGTCTCCCAGACCAAGGTGAAAAGACCCAGCTCTCTCAGCCATCCTCCTAATGATGCCTTTCCCTGTAGCCAGGGACAGGAAACTCTGCCTCAGCCTCAGCCCTGCTCTGTCTAGCTCACTTACACCATCTCCCTTCCCACCCAGTGTTTACGCCGGTGGTTCCCTGTTGCTGTGTACATATCACAGCCCCCTTAGTCATTGTTTAGCTATTATACTTTGCTGGGGTAATTTTCCATCCCTCTGTTTATATCATTTTTTTTTTTTGCTTCTCTCCTCCTCCTCCTCCTCCTCCTCCTCCACTTTTATGGACAAAAACATGCTTGGTAATATAAGCGTTAATATAGTTATAATTAAGATGGAAGCATTTTGCCAGAAGGAGGATTTAGCTGAGATTTGTTGAATTCCATCCTGAGTGAATTATTTATGAGCAAATTCATGGCTCTTTTATGGGGCTTTCTAAACAGAGCAGTCTTCTGAATCTTCTGTCTCTAGAGGTTTTGTGCCAGCCTTGGGGGATGGAGGATGGGTATGGGGCAGGCAGGGGAGCGAAGGGGGAGGGGGCTAGGGAGCATGGGGAAAGCACATATCTAGCAAGGCCTGGTTGCTGAAAAAGCTTAAAAAGAGCCTTTGGGTCTAACCGGGAAGATCTTCCAAAAATCTCTTCTCGGACCCTGTATTCTCTTCTGGGGCTAGTCATTTCTCTTGGTAGAGAAAAGAACTAAGTACCTATACCTCCACATGAAAATGCATTTGTAGCCCAGCTTCAGTTTTAATGCTCCCTGATGTGGGTCTGGAGTAACTTCCCATGCTCTTCCTGGAACTCTTTGCATTTCACACATACTAGGATTGGACACACAAACTAGACAGGGTGGCAGCCCTAATGATTAGGGGGGAAATGCCCAGGATTAGAGCTTGGTAGAGCTGAATTTGGGTGTGAACTTGAGCTTTCCTCTCATGACACCTTTCCTTGCACCCCCCAGTCTCCAATCTCTCTAGAATTTAGCTCCTGTTTGTTCAATGGTTTGGTGGGGATGTTGGCAGTGGAGGCACCAATGAGGGAGAAGTCGGAGAAGCATGTGTGTGGGTCCTGAGCCTGTTTGTCTTCAGCAGTATCTCTCATGTTCTTCTGCTCTGTCGGCTGCCTCAGGGCTCGAACCATTTGCAGGTTGCATTTCTCAGGCTCCCAGATCAGCTGGCTTCCAGCTGGGTTCATCCAGTGGGAGGCATTGGATGGAGATGGTAGGGAAGAAGGAAGAGAGAAGCCATGTTTTTCTCCTTCACCTTTCCTGTCTTGGGTGGCTTCTACAGTAGCAGCTGACTGTCTTCCTAGGCTCCAGATCTTACTAGACAGCTGTGCTGTGGTTCCAGCTTCTGTCTGGCGGCCCCGGCCCCTGAGCTCTGATCACTTCGTTTCCTCCTTTGCCCCTGCAGCCGAAGGGTGATAGCTGCATTGGCTATTGCTGCCCTCTGATGTGCCTCATCGTCTCCTGTCTGACTTCTCAACTCTCCCATCACCTGGGTAACTGATTCCCTGTACTAAAACCTCTCTGCTTTAGAAACTCAAGTATGGTTTTCATCATTTTTGTTTGGACATTGACTAATACAGGAAGATTTGTCTTTAGAAATAAAGCTTGCTGAGCATTTTCTCTGGGTCAGTTTTCATTTCTCCTTAATCATGAGAAGACACGGCATAATAAACACGAGCTCAACAGTATAAGGCTCTGTAGTTGAGTAAATGTGTATGATTTTTTTTTCTCTTTTCATACCAGAGTTTGATGAAACAAAGTACCAAAAGGTCTTTCAAAAGTAAAAGACTTTTAAGAGTAAAAAAGTTTAAGAAATTAAAAAAAGAGGCATCTTTTTTTTCCTCTTTCCTTTGAAACCAGCCTTTTTCATTCTGTGATGCGGATATGATTCAAACTTTCTCTTCTACCTCCAGCCCTTAGTTTGTAAGGAGAAAGAGCGAGGGGCAGAGAGAGAGAACGAGAAGTCAGTCCAGCAGCCAGCAAACCTAATGTGCAAACATGATGTGTTAACACTGTGTGCCTGGGTGAGCTGGGATTATTCAGCTGAGACAACATGAAACCTCTGCTTATTTGGACTTTGGGATCTGATTCATTGGGAGCTGAAATTCAGGGGAGAGAAAGAAGAAAAGAGGAAGGAGAGGGACAGAAGTGAGGGGCGTGGGCGATGTGACACATTCTCCCATGGCAACAGGGGGTTATTGATCAGGAAAGTGGTTCATTTTTGAGGGCAGGATACCTTCTTTATGCTCAGGTGTGAAGCTGGCTTAAGAAGCGAATTTAGCTTGCCTGAGTGTTTTTACGAATGTGTTGGCTGCTCGGCAAGTTCAGTATGGAAATATTTAGGTAAGCAGAAGAGAAAATTACATTTAGAAAAAGTTGATTTAGCCGGTCAGAGTATGGAATCAAGAATGAGAAAAGGAGATTCTATGTACTGGGATTTTTGAAAAAGTGTGCATGTGTGTGTCACACACACTAATTTAGACCAGCTGGGGTGATCTCACAGGGGCCTCATGGGCCAGAGCTGCCGTTCCTCTGTAGAGAGCACATCTCCCCTGGAAATGTGTACTCAGGTGCAGTTGAAGGGTCTGAGGTCATGGCTGAGGCTCTGGCCAAGATCCTCCCAGGCTTCAGCCTCTGCTTCCTCTAGAGTCCGCTGGTCAGGAGCCATCCTTCAGATGCCAGAGCCAGGCCATG